TAGTGTGGAGATCATGGATGTGTTGGGCATCCCCCCCCCCAAACCTGAATAAGGTCCAGGATCTCCACCCTGGACCAGGAAGGTACCCACTTTCTCCAGCCCCTGTCAGGCTCCTAGGAGCTGGCAGACTGCTCCTGGGGAGCAGTGTACGGCTGGCTGCCCGTAGCTTGCTGGCTCATGTTTTGGGGCCTCTGGGTCAGGGGCCCCGGTGGCCACTGCTGGCTCTGGGCTGGCAGGCTTGGAGCTGGCGCAGGCACTGTGGCCAGGGTCTACCCCTTTAATGGCTCCGGGGGAAGGGGGAGGAGAGGAAGGTTTCCTGGTTGTGCCCAGAGTGGCCACTAGGGCTCCCTGGGAAGGGCTGGAGGCCCCCTATTTCGAATTGTCTACACAGCACTTAATTCGAAATAGCTATTTCAAAGTTGGCATTACTCCTCATAGAATGAGGTTTACCAAATTCGAATTAAGGGCTCCACTATTTCGAATTAAATAGTGGTTTGCATGTATAGACGCTATTAAAGTTAATTTGAAATAACGGCTGGTATTTCAAATTTACTTTGCAGTGAAGACATACCCATATTGATCCACTTGCTGCTACTTATCCATTATGATCAAATCACTCCTGATGCTTCTCTTTCTTCAGCTAAATAGATTGCAGGTGTTTTATCCATCCATAAGATATGTTTTCCAATCCTCTCTAACCCTCTATTTCAACGTCCTTCCTGAATTGTGCACACCACCATTGGATAGAGAATTCCAGCAGCAGTCACACCAGTGCCAAATACAAAGATAAAAGTTCCTTTCTAGTCCTGCTGGAGATTCCCCTTGCTATGTATCCAAGGATGACATTAACCCATTTGATCACAGTGCCATGCTGGGAGGGGCTCATGTGCAGCTCATTAGCCACCAGGAAGGACCTCCCCCTCCCACCAGATCTTTTTCAGTCATTGATTCAGTGGCTGGAGAGGGCTGGGGCCAGTGGGGAAGGAAGACTGGGCCTGCAGCACAGCAGCCTGGCACCCTGGTGGTCAGGGAAAGCTGGGCTTGCAGTGCAGCAGCCCAGCTCCCCAGCCGCCATGGGGGGACTGGTGCTGCGAGATGGCAGCCCAGCTCCCTGGTCACTGGGAGCCCTGGCCCTCAGCTGGGGTTACATGGGGTTTGCTGGAGGGGAAGTTGTTGAAGGGCGTGGTCTCAGGGGAAGAGGTGTGGGTTTGAATGGAAGGGGCGGGACTTTGGCTTGTCTTCCCCAGCTGGGCCTTTACCCACTATCCATGGTATGCAGATTCCTCTTATCCTAATTTAAAGCGAGATCAGGGCTTGGTTGTGCCAAGGCAATGGGATATGCCTAGAATATGATAACATGGAAAGGGAGGGGAGAGAGAGGAGCATGATCCTCTTACTCACTGCTGGGGTCAGGAAGTGCAGGGGAGAGCTTTTTTGCAGTGGCCACTGGGGGCAGCCACACCACCCAGAGAATGGCCAGTTGGGGATAGGACTCTCCCATCTTGCCTACCACTGGTAAGTGGCCTCCCTGGCTAAAACCCCTTTCCTGCTCCCTCTGCACCCTGCCGAAACACCACCAGGGCTGGGCAGCCAAGCCCCAGTCACCCCCCACGGAACCCACTGGTGCTCCCCCACCCTGCTGTCTCCACCACTGCATTGTCCAGTGTGGTCACTGTGTACCAACATGCAAAGATCCCCCTTCTCCTCCTGGGCTAGGGGAGATCTGACACACGGGAAGCCTTTATGGCCTCAACCCTGGATCCACCTCACCAACCCCAAACCCTAGCCCGGGTTGACCCCAAACCCCAGACCAAGCCCCCCACCAAGCACCGGCCCAACCCTCCCCCCCAACACCAGGCTGGCCTGGGGTATGCCATCAGGAGTCCTGCACAATCCTTCCACACTTCCCCGGGCCAACAGCACTGAGTAAGTCTTCTAGTATGGCATAAAACTGCAGTTCTTTAACTATCCAGTGATCTGAAAATATTTTACCAGACTTCTGTGTTTCTTTTGGAACAGAAAACTCTAGCTCTACATTCCTGCATTCTCTGTATCTTGTATCTATGATGTGAAAGAGGTGTTTCAGAAAATGGGTGTGATTTGTGTGTTCACTGGTAAGGCTGATGTGTCTGGAATTACTGGGAAAACTATACTGAAGGGCTGTGTCTAGACTGGCAAGATTTCTGCAAAATCATCTGCTTTTCCGGAAAAACTATGCTGTTCCCGTTCGGGCAAAAGTCTTTTTCCGGAAGACTTTTGTGCGAAAGGGCCAGTGTAGACAGCATAGTACTGTTTTCCACAAAAAAGCCCCGATCGTGAAAAAGGCGATTGGGGCTTTTTTGTGGAAACGGACGCTTTTCCGCAAAAAGCGCTTTTGCGGAAAAGCATCCTGCCAATCTAGACGCGCTTTTCCGAAAATGCTTTTAATGGAAAACTTTTCCGTTAAAAGCATTTTTGGAAATTCATGCCAGTGTAGACGTAGCCAAGTTGTCAAAAGTAAGTTGGTAAAATAGAGATGGTGCTAAGACTTGTATTTTATCTTTGAATGTAATGGCCAAGATGCTCACTGATAGGAACATAGAGAGGATAGGGCTGCAAATTAGCATATCTTCTCGATGTAAGCATTAATTTGCCCATTATAGTTTATGCAGAGGTATTGTGAGCACATTTCATATTTTAGGACATTGTTGTAGAAGTAAATACTATCAAGATGTACAGACAAAAGTGCACAAACACACCATTGTAATGTCAACTATTATTTAGAATACTTGAAAGATCTGTAATTTCATTGAAGCGAATAGTTTTGCCACCAAGGTAGCTTGCAGCTTTTCCATGCTGTCCTGTTTTGTGAGGTTCTCATCTATGTCCTTCCATGAATCCTCCTTAAAGGATCCACTCAACGTGCTGGAGGCCTTCCTCTTGTTCTTTTTACGTGCTGTCCATCTGTTGTCTCAGTCTCGCTACATGGCCAACCCATCTCCTTTTCTGATCATACATAACTCGAATTATATCATTGACACCACTTCTTGCACGCAGATTGTTGATAGTAATATGCTATAGCCATCATGCATCTTTCCATTGCTCTTTGGCTGGTTTGCAGCTTTCATTTTTTTATAAGCATTGTGTTCTAAATTTTGCAACCATACAGAATTATTGGAAGAACACTGGTGTTAGAGAGATGGGCTCTCATAGTGGTAGGAAGTTTGGGATCAACAAAAATTCTGTGTAGATTCCCAAAGACAATCCAACCTGACTTCTTCCTCCTGCTCAACTCCAGGCCCAATTCATTGTCCATCTGCTACACTTGTCTAAGATATACATCTTGATCCACTAACTCAACGGACTGTCCATTCAGCTGTGTAACATACTTCATTTAGTTTTTCATCCACTTCGTTTTTCCAGTGTGGATGGTCAGGCCCATCTCCTTTGCGTTCTTACTGATGTCATTAAGGAGGGTTTGCAATGTTTCAGGTTTTGATGCAATTAGGACAATGTAATCTGTGAAAAGGAAAATCTGAAGAACCTTGCCATCAATCAGAAATCCGTCGTTCACTTAGATCTTCCGCAGGACGTTTTTGCAGAATGCTGGTAAATAACTTCAGTGAACAAACATCCCCCTGCTTTACTCCTCGCTTAACTGCAATACACAAGGGGTCATCAAAAAGCATGATTTCCGCAGTTGTGTCCATCATGGAATCTTGTATGATTCTAACATACACTGGAGAGACACCCTGTGAAAGGAGAGTTCTTAAAGCTTTATTTTGTTCCACTGAGTCAAAGGCTTTTTAAAAATCAATGAACAACAAGCATAGAGGGATCTTGTACTCTCTACACCAGTGGTTTCCAAACTTTTCGGCATCACGAATATGCAAATGAGAGCATGTGAAATGCTACTGAGTGCTTCGTTTGCATTTCCTCTTCTGCAAAAATGATGCAGTGTAGATGGACACCAAGTTTCTGGTAATCACAGTCCGGGGACACCCAGATCATAGGATTGCATCCATGACCATTTTGTCTAACAGACATGGACAGACTGATCCTCCATGAACATTCTTATTCTTTACCCAGCTCAGTCTGTGCTGATGAGATACCTCTTCTTTTATATTTTACAGAGATTAAGGGACCTCCCTCTGCCTGTGAGTTGAGAAAACAAGATAGGAGATTCATGCAACTCTATCTGTAAAACATAGTGGCGTCTAGCCTTACCAAACATACATCGAAAAAAATCCCATTGAGCTCAGTCTTCAGGTCATTCTGGTTGTGTTTACAGATTATTCCCTGGAGCATTGATTTAAAAGTTCATCTGCAGCTGTTGCTCTGTGTCCTGTACTCAGACTATGAGCTTTGCTTCATTTTCTTGTAGGCTGTTCACAAGGCCTTGGTGGACTGATGGAAAGTAGTGGTGCAAAAGCAACTGTAAACAA